GTCTTCGCATCCCATTTCCTCTCCTCGCTTCGTCTCTACGCGCCTCCTCCACCCATCCCTTGGCACCTCCCCGTGATCCTAATGCTCCTCATAGTTGCCACCACCTTCACCGAAATTATCATCATCACCACTACCATCATCACCCCCAGTAGTGGAATCCGTCATCAGCGGGAGCTTTGCCAGCATAAACGTCATACAACATCGTTTCTTCAACGCTCCATCCACCCACCCCGTCTCCTTCCGTCCTCGCCTCACCTCCCATCATCACTGTCAGTCGCTCATGCTTGAGGCTCATGAAGGCGCCATCAATCCAACAACGCCAACCCCCGCCAGGCCCACCTTTGTCAGGCCTCGCTGGGAAGGCGCATACACCATCCTCGTGACCCAGGATTGCGCTGTCCTGGATGGGTGCTGGTCGGCGCAGTGCTTTCAATTCGGTGCGCCCCGGGGCCAGGTCTTCCTCCTGGACTGCTCTCCAAGCAGGCTTGCAATGGTGCCCGATGGAGTCCACCGAAGCCATGGGACTACATTGGGCTGCATTGGCCTCCATCGAGGTCCTTAGGAATGCATAGGAGTCCGTTGGGACACCCCCACGAGTCGATTGGACTCTGTTGGACTCTGTTGGTCTCCATGGCATTCCTTTGATCTCTGGTGGACTCACCGTAGTACTCCGCTGGACTCCATTGGATTCCATACAGCTCCGTGGGACTCCATGGTACTCCATTGGACTGTATGGCTCCACTGGGCTCCATATGACTCTATCAGATTGCACTGGATTCCAATGGACTCCTTTGGACCCCATCCGAATACATATACTAATTCGTTACGCTTCATGGGACTCAAATCTCGTATTGGGTAGCGCTGAGACACTTTGGATGTGCACACGCCAAGTGGTCGACCGTGTATCGTGCACTACGGCGCCCTTCCACTCGATGGATCTGGGCTGACGCATCTCAGTTGTGGAAGGATTTCCTGTTATCATGCTCCACACCCTGGATGCGCTTTCTTGCGTCGCGACTTGGATTCGCCGTCAGGGTTTTCCTCGGACTTCGTTCCCAGTCAGTCTGTGTTACCTGTCAGACTCCCTGGATCGATGTCCTCGGCACTCTTAAATGCACGGCCTTCCGCCGTGACCAGGATCTGTGGCTCTGAGGGACGCGTCTTGGGTATACGAAAGCCCCGTCCCTCGGGTGCTATCCGACTCGTTTGGGTAGCGCTGAGACACTCTGGATGTGCACACGCCACGTAGTCGACCGCGTATCGTGCACCACGACGCCCTTCCACTCGATGGATCTGGGCTGACGCATCTCAGTTGTGGAAGGTTCTCCTGCCATCATGCTCCACACCCTGGATGCGCTTTCTTGCGTCGCGACTTGGATTCGCCTTCAGCCCTTCCGCTGGACTTATTTCTCCAGTCAGTCTGTGTTACCCGTCAGACTCACTGGATCGATGTCCTCGGGAACTTAAATGCTGAACGGCCTTCCGCCGTGACCCTGGATCGAAGTGGCTCTGAAAGATGCGTCTCGGGTACACGAAGGTCCCGCCCCTCGGGTGCTATCCGACTCGGTCTGGTAGCGCTGAGACACTTTGGATGTGCACACGCCACGTTGTCGACCGTGTATAGTGCACTACGGCGCCCCTCCACTCGTTGGGTCTGGGCTGACGCATCTCAGTTGTGGAAGGCTCTCCTGTCACGCCCTACACCCTGGATGCGCGTTCTGGCGTCGCGACTTCGTGTCACCGCCAGAATTTCCCGCTGGACTTATGTCCCCAGTTAGTCTGTGGTACCCGTCAGGCTCCCTGGATCGTTGTCTTCGGGAATGTTCCTTTCTGTCCGCATCTGGACTTCTGGGAACGCCTCGCGCGCCACTTTGGCTGCGCTTGGTCTCCTCGGTGCCTGTCCTCAGGCTCGTTGGATGGACCGTTGCATGCCCGTCCTGGGGCTGTCTCAGTCTCCCTGGATTGCACGTCGGCTGCCGCCCTGGGCGCTGCCTCCCTCGCCGCCTGATCCGCGGCCCCCGCGCGCGCTAGGCAATTTAGCCGCGGTCGTAGCCCGCCCGCGACCTCCCGCCGCTGGCGCTTCCGCCTGCGGCTGTAAAAAAAAGGGACTCAAATCTCCTGATTCGAATCCATGATCCGTTGAGCCCCATTGAACTCCATACTACTCCACAGGACCCCGTTGGACTCCGATGGGTTCCATGGGAGCCAGTTTGAGTCCCGAGGACTCCACGGGACCTCGTAGGACTCCGGTGGAGTCCAACGGAGCCCAATGGAACGCAACGGAGTTCAATTGAGTCCAATGAAGTCCACTTGAGTCCGATTGTGAATAGATGGAGACCTCTGAAATTCAATAGAGCCCAATGGAATCCAATGGAGCCCGATGGAGTCCCATGGAATTCCACCAGCCCCTCAGGGCGTAGGTGGTCTAACGATATTCTTCTTTCCTCTTCCAAACCCCCCGTTCCGTTCGGGGACGGGTACCCTCCCACCCCGCACCCTCCCGAAGGTTGTTTGGAAGGTTCGCAAGCGGTCAGAACGCCCAAGATGGCCCGGGATGGCTTCAAGAGGGCGGCCGATTCTCCAAGATGGCCCCCAAGATGGCTCAAGATAGCCGAAAGTAATTCTAGATGGTTTCCAACATGCCTCCAAGAGGCCCCATGAGGACCACAAGACGGCTCCAAATGTTTTCGGAGACCCGCAGGACTTCCCCAGGGAGCCAAAAACCTTCAAAAGCACATCGACATCAACATCCCAGGCCGAAAGTTCTTTCCCCTTGAACTAAAAGTATGAGAACACCGATGGATCAAATTGGATCCCTTTTTCGTGTCTGCGGGGGAGGGGGTCCCAGAACGGAGAGGGGAAGGAGGAGGGAGGAGGCAGGCACGAGGGGGGGGGAGGAGGGGAGAAGGAACGGGAGAAGAGAGAGGAGGAAGAATCACGGAGGACGGGGGGAGGGAGGAAGAAAGGGGAGAAGGAGGAGGAGGAGGAGGAGGAGGAAGAGGAGGAGGAGGAGGAGGAGGAGGAGGGGGAGGAGGGGGAGGGAGGAGGGATGCGGGGAGGAAGGAGAAGAGGAGGGAGGAGGAGGTAGGGTGAGGAGGGAGGAGGTGGGAGGCAGAGGGAAGAGGGAGGACGGGGAGCACGAGGACACGCAAGCAGAGTGTCAAGATCGGAGGCTCGAGCATCGCAGCGGGCCCGGCCTCCTCCCTCGACTTCTCCCGTAACATGTGGTTGCTCGAGCGCCACGTCACAAAGGGCCTGGACATCTCCCGAGAATCCTCACATAACATAAGGTTGCTCGAACGCCACAGCGGGCCCAGCCAACTCCCGCATCTCCTCCCAGAACATATGGCACGCCCCAAGCCGAAGGGAGCGCTACATGTATCCGCTCACCTGAACGGCACGTCGCTTGCGACATGTGGGGCTCAAGGGGGAAATCTTTCGGCCTGCGTAAGCGGGATTTCGAACTGCGCCTCTCCCACTAACACCATGACACCGTCGCCCCTGCGTGCAATTGCGAGAGGGGTGCCGAATCCTTCAGCGGGATTTCAAACTGCGTCTCTCCCACTAACACCATGCCACCGCCGCCCCTGAGTGCAAGTGCGAGAGGGGTGCCGAATCCTTAGCGGGATGTCGAACTGCGTCTCTCCCATTACGTAACACCATGCCACCGCCACCCCTGCGTGCAAGTGCGAGAGGAGTGCCGAATAATTCGTCCACAGGCCGAATTTCTTGCTTGAACTAAACTATGAAAACGCCGATGGATCAAGTTGAATCCCTTTTTCGGGTCTGCGGGGGGAGGGGGGAGGACGGACAGGGGAAGGAGAAGGAGAAGGGAGGAGGCAGGAGCGGGGGGGGAGGAGGGGAGAAGGGACGGGAGGAGGGAAGAGCGAGGAGGAACAATCACGGAGGACGGGGGGGGGAGGAAGAAAGGGAAAAGAGAAGGAGGAGGGAGGAGGGATGCGGAAGGAGGGAGGAGGAGGTAGGGTGAGGAGGGAGGAGGTGGGAGGCAGAGGGAAGAGGGAGGACGGGGAGCACGAGGACACGCAAGCAAAGTGTCAAGATCGGAGGCTCGAGCATCACAGCGGGCCCGGCCTCCTCCCTCGACTTCTCCCGTAACATGTGGTTGCTCGAGCGCCACGTCACAAAGGGCCTGGACATCTCCCGAGAATCCTCCCATAACATAAGGTTGCTCGAACGCCACAGCCGGCCCAGCCAACTCCCGCATCTCCTCCCAGAACAGATGGCAAGGGGAAAATCGCTCGGCCTGCGCAAGTGCGCTTCTTGCATTCTCGCATCCTCACTTCCAATGCGGCTTCAAGGCCTCAAGATGGCCCCAAGATGACCCAAGAGAGTCCCAAGGAGAGGCACAAGAGGCCTGAGTAACAACCCTAAGACCGCCCAAGAGCGCCCCAAGGGCACAGCAACAGGGCCCAAAGAGGCGATTCGAATGGCCCCAGGTGGGGGAGGGAAACTAGGACCGCGAGCGAGTCTCGAGAGGACTTTACGAGGGCATCCGGTAGACCCAAAGACGACTGCCAGTCTTCGTCCTCATCCTCCTCATCTCCTCCTCCTCCTCCTCCTCCTCCTCCTCCTCCTCCTCCTCCTCCTCCTCTTTCCTCCTCGTCCTTCGTCATCCTTCTCGTCTTCGTCCTCCTCCTCCTCCACGGCCTCGTCATCCTCCTCCTCCTCCTCCTCCTCCTCCTCCTCCCCATCATCCTCGTCCTCATCATCGTTCTCGTGTTCGTCCTGTCTGATCAGGCTCGTCCAAAACGTGTTCCACTGCATGATTGTACACTGTCCTGATCAAAGCAACTCATGTGGGCATCGTTTCTGGACGGGCTGGTGAGGATACGCGAAGCGTGAATAGTACTTTGAGCCAATTCGACACTTCCAATATGGAGTCAACACCGGTAGATACTTGCAGAACGAGGCTGGTGCCCAAAACGGGCCGCTGGGTGATTGGCGTTCCCCGAAGCCCCCCTGCCACGAGCATAGGGCAC